CCCCCGCTCCTCTTGACTATGTATTATTTGCATCGCGGGACTTTGTTCAACTTCATCGACCAAAACTACTAAAGTATAGCTTTTTAATAGTTAATTACTTTCCTTTCCCCCCTTTTAACTGCGATTATTGCAGCGCGTGTCTCGCGAATGGAAGGGAGGTGGAGGACGACGCCTTTCTGAATACTTTTAAATACGACCGGAGCGAAATGTTCCGACGAACTTTCGAGCAAGTCTTCGAGTCTCGCGTCACTTGACTATCGCCTTCAGAAAAATGCGATCGCACGACCAGCACCTGGACCTCGCGCTAAAGTCGTGCAAGGAAAAGCCGTCGTCAAGGGAAAAATCCAACGAGTCGCTTGCGCGGTCTTCTTGGCCCAAGGTCACGATATTTCATGATAAAATGCCACACGGACAATCCGACGAGAGGATCTTGCCTCCTGATTTTAGCGAATGTTCCACTAACATCAGTGCAAACGACTCCAACGTTCTCACCTGCGATATCGAGCTCTTCTGCGAAAACGACCGCGTGAACCATGTAATGTTGAAAGAACGGACGACTTGCACGCAGATTTCCAGCTCCACGGAGACCGAGGAAGAGTCGATCGATGTGTGTCCCACGTGTAAGGATTGCGTAGAATGCCAGCTGCAGAATAGAATCGCGAAGATGCGCAAAGCTGAAGATCTGATGAATAAGCAGGATCAAAAACACTTCGATTATTACGAGACCGAGGCGAACGAGACGGCTCCCATGTCGAGTACGATCACCTCGATAGACTGTGAAGCTCCCATACTTGTGGATCTGACCAACGAGGAGACGAAGGTTACCTGGAAACAGACAATACTGAAGCGATTCGTTGACGACAAGAGCTCGGAAATGTCGGGTGAGACCGCGATTGACATCTAAAAACAACCGGATATATCAATGTTTGTTAATCTATATTTGCACCTTCACGTCGATGTTAAAAAACAAATTTATGTCACATTACCGATCGCTCGACACGTGTAAACGTATAAAGTAACATAAAACACGCAATATATCTTTGCGAGTATCGTTAATCGTACATATACTGACCTCTAAAACTACCTTTAATTCTTTTAACACGTCGCCTTTTAAGATTCCATGCGGTTTTATAACACAAAGGAGGAAATATTCGCGTGATATCGATTATTTATGGGCATCCCGAAGAACACAAAATCTAAAGGAATATCCCGATTCCATAAATAAACTTATTTATTCACTCATCTGTTGATGAGAAATCAATTATTTGATACAAAATATGAGTTTCTATCGTATTAAACTTATTCATTAACTCATTTCCCGGAAAAAAAGTTCCTATATATAATCATAAAGAAATATATATATGATTATATATACCCTAACAGCACAAATAGCCAGGAGACGTCCAGAGTACGTCCTGAGAACGTTCTGGGGACGTTTCTATGTCCCCAGGAGATTTGTGCTGTATGGATAATTATATATAATTGTCCATATATGTGACCTTCTATATGACTATATCTAATTAAATATGTCCATACATAAAACAAATACTATTGAGTGAAAAAATGAAAACAATTCAATTAAACGTCGACATCATGAGCTACCACAAACATAAACATTTACTTCCAGTGTATTTTCATAAAACAACATTCTTTTCAATATGGATATGTACAATTATATATAGTCATATATGGACAAAAATTCATATATAATCCATAAATCCATATCCATAAATTAATATCAATAAATCCAATATCCATAAATTTTTTCCCGGGTTATCAATTCTGTAATACAAGATATGAAATTCTGGATATAAAATTGCATGTTAAATTAAACTGTAACTTTCATTCCCTTCTAGAATCACGCATTATGATAGCCGATAGTTCCAGCAGGTTGCAACGCAGCGGCACGGGTGGTAGCCTAGCGACCGCCTTGAGGGATCGCGGTCCTTGCGTGATCCCCGTGCAGCCTAATCGCTCTCTGCCCATTCGACCGGCGCCGCCGACGCCGACGAGGTCGGCGGCGTCGATCGTAATGTCGAAGAAAACGCGCTCGCCGATTCTTAAGTTATCGAAACCTGTGAACGTGGTCGAGGTGCAGTCCGAAAAATCTTTGAGTGACACGTTAACGGACGAGTTGAGCTTTCCGTCCGGGCAACAGGATGAGAAGAGTGACGATATGATGCTCACGAGCGAACTCATCGATCAGACGAAGTATATTCTCCCGGATATGGCTAACGTCGTGCAGGTGGTAAATTAAAGTCTGAGAACACGGACAATTCTCACGGCATAAGAAAACCAATGTTTCTAGAGTGCTATGTCTTTGCACAGACACGACACTTTTATCATTATATCGTTATACTATGTAGTTTATTGCACAATTAAATTTTATTAGCCACGGTGAGCGATATTGCCAAATTAAAGTTGGAAATAATTTAACACTATTTACTTTTGCCAAGTATCGAAATGAGATTATCAGTATCAATAATGTATACATATTACAGATCACGCAAGAAGTCAATAGCGTTAAAAGGAAAAGCAGCGAAGATCGGGGTAAGGAGTATAAGAAAAAGATTACCAAGGACGCGAAGAAACGAAGAAAATCCCTCGAAATAGACGCCATATGCGACGAACGTGTCGAGAATATTTTGAAGGAGTATTCTAGGGTGTGTGTCGGTAATTTGGCTGACAAGGGAGACAGGAGTTCGCAGCACGTGATGTTGGGATTATGGGACGACAAAAGGTCATCGGTCGTAGTGTCGACAACGGAGCCGGAGATGGAGAAGACGAAAGAAATCTGTAACAAAGTTGTGCCACCTTTAAGATTGAAGAAAGTTGTGCCCGAAGGTATACTATTCCTTTGTTTACCATATAATGAAAGAAATCATACTCCTTGAATTATTAACGTGTGGTTTCTCAGTAGTACAGTTTTGATTTGTTTTGTCGTTAGCGAGCACCACCAATGAGTACCGCAACGTCGAGGTGAACGCTGAGTCAGGCAACGAATTGAATTATCGCATTGTAACTGGTGCTACGCCACGTCCGGAATCTTCGTCCGAGTATTCTCTCTGGAGCAACATGAGCGCAGAGAAAGATGTCGACAAACCGTTCCTGCGGGACAAGAGTCGGCAATTCTCACCGAAAAGCGACGGCTACAAGATCCAGTACCGTCGCAACCGATTGCGCCGGAAGCTGGTGGAGCTGCGCTGGAAGGCGCTGGAACTGTCGCACGAGATAGCCGTCCATAACAACGACAACGACACCGACACGAGTCCGCAGCGTGCTTTCCGCAACACGCGGCTGCGGCAGATGATGAACTGTTATGAGAAACAGATCGAGAACATCTCGAAGCTGTTGTGCAAACTCTCCGCGTCTATACCGCCGACGTCGACCGATGACGTCGTCGACCTCGACTATGAGAACGAGTTGAACGAAGAGCGCACCGTCGAGAAAGCCGCAGTTGATAGCGATAGCGTTACTGCACAGATGGTCAATGAAGTCTCAGTTGCCAAGCAACCGACCAGCATTTCCGTGTCACCGTCGCCGTCGCCAGGACCACCGAAACTGTCGCCACGTTCTCCCATCGACTATGAGAAGAGCAAATCGCCGGACAAGATGAGAGATAGTCCGCCTGTGTTGCCCAGAGTGTACATCGTGATTCAGCCGACCACTCCGGAATGTATGAAACAGAATTTAGTCACCGCGAACAGCTGGCACGAAAGTGGCGATGGCTCTTCAGACTCATCGGTCGAAAAGGAAGTCAAGATTCTCGACGATACGGATCAAACAATCATTCGTAGCGATGTAACAACTGAACCAGCTGTAACTCCGGTTTCATCGTCGGAGTTCGAAAACCTAGGAAATGATACCGCGGAGTGGAACACGGAGAACACTTTGCCGAAACTGTCGCCCACTTTAAAAAACCCAGAGATCGAGGAAAAAATCGAGGAGGTCACAAAGACATTCGAGGATATTAACGAATCTGAATGCTCAACACCGTCGATATGTTCGAACGATTTTCCTGGCACGACGATGAATATTGAAATAGATAGAGGTAACACGAGGGACACGAAGGACGCCGCCGTTCAAGGATGTCCCGATGAGATAGCGACGCAGGTTGCGGAAGCCCAAGCTATGAATAAACAAGTGGCTCAAGAGGAACAGGAGAAGAAACAGGAACAGAGCAGTTCGAGTGAAGTGTTATCTACGTCCAATCCGATTCTCGAAGAAGCTAAGAAAAGCACTAAGCATTACGACTCGGAAAAGAAGATCAACGACAAAGATAGGACAGTCGCGAGTACGTCCACCACGACGCAAGAAGCACCGACGATAGTCGGACGACCGCAAGTGTCCGCGTCTAATATGACTAACATCTTGCAATTGCAATCGAATTACTATGGCCCATCCATGGCGCGAGACAATACGGTTTTCACGGGCGTCGTACAGGATGCAACGAACACGCAGAAGGTAAGTAACCTGAAAAAGCAACTGTAACCAAGTAACTGATGGGAATACAAAAAGAATATAAACTCTTCTTAATTAAGTATGGTTTTTCTCTCTCTAAATGAAAGACAAATCGAGATAAAAAATAAACTTAATATATACATTAAGAATATATATGAAGAAGGACTTATGAGAGCCAAATGATAGTGTTATAAACAATTATATTTATCTATATTTATATAGATTGGTGTCAAATGTTTTGTATATTAGAAAAAGAGAAAGGGAGAGAGAAAGCCCAAACTCAGTATAGACAAATCGTTCTTAATAGATTAGAATAGATTAAGAGGTTTAAAAGTATTCAACATGTTCAGGTGACGTCGAGTGTGACCCAATCCGTGCCTATAAATCCAACGATATCTCTGGTATTCTGTCAGTCTGGGTCTACTGTCAGCAGTTCGAACCAGCAATGCGTCGTGTAGGTGTAATTGACGCTTTGTAAACCATATAGATTTGAGATTCATGGCTATTTAATTTCATTTTACGTGTCAGCTTGCCGAACAGTTGCAACAGCGACGTCGCCCCGGAAAATGCCGGTCAACGAAACGAGGGAAATCGTATTATGACAGAGCAGTTCCCCACATTGGGCAACTGGGTAACGCGATTGTCAAAGAAACAGGTTACCAAGTCGAAGTATAAACTAAAATCCGGAGTGACGCTTCCGACTACGTCGACTGCGGAAGTTGCTCGCGTGAGTGCACTCTCGCCAGTAATCATCTCTCCCAATGGTAATATATCGTTAACTAAAATTCTACCGTTACCTGGTAGAATTCTACCGTTACCCAGGTTCCTGGGTTGGAAGCGCAAAAAGTGCGCGCGAGTATGCCGAGCAACGCGACTCGCAGCAACATAGTCAACGTAGCTCCGCAGTGGAACACGGAAAGGTGGCAGCGTCAACAGCGTCAGCAGCAATTGTACGACGCAGCGTCATCGGCTGCGCCCGCAGTCCGACCAAGAATTTGCCCGCCGATCTCGGTCACTCAATTTTATCCACCTAATTACGCGGTGAGAATCGTCAGTATTTTTACGATGCTGGTATTGAATAATTCATATATATAAATTAATATTACAATATATTTTCTCAATACTCTCTTCTCGTTTGCGCGAAGGAAAGACACGTGGAAAGAATATATGATATAACTTACCGTTGCAGATCGATCCTTACGGCAACGGGACGGCTTTCGGCTACCACACGATGTGTCCATACGGCGATTACTCCTATCATCCGCGGCTACACACGGCTGCACCGCCGGCGATAAGCGGCTACCAGATACCGCTTCAGGACTCCTCGCCGATCCGTCAGATGCAGAATACCGAAAAACGTTTTCACCTGCAGGAGGTGACGCGGCACTTCGCCGACATTCTTAAGTATCCTGCGAGCTTGTCCACAACGGGGAACTATCAGCGCACTGCTACCGGCTTGGACTTTGATCGGCTAAGACCTGCGGCGGCGGTCACTCAGAACGGCAGCACCGCATCCGCGGCTTGCTTGCCGCAGTTATTGTTACCGCCGCCGCCCCCGTTGCCGGCTACAGCGCAGCAGACCTCGCGTACCGCTCCTCTAGCTGACTATTCTTCAAACACTAATCAATGCGGCAGGAACAGGATAATTCCAGACGTCGTGGCCGCGGCAGCGGCCGCTGCCGCAGCTGTGGCGGCAGCTTCCTTCGGCCAGCAACGTGGTCCTTTGCCGCCGTACGGGAGAACCGACGCGGAGATAGTGTCCGGAGGCATCGGCGGTATGATCGACAATGAGTCCACGCAGCTGATAATGAACAGAACGGCGAATCGTGAACGTCTGTCCGAGCAAGTGCAATCAGTCGCCAGCGGCGTCGGCGTGAACTCACGGTTAAATAATAACAGTTATCATCAGTTACAGAATTTGATCTTGGATAGATTGCCTTACGTGAAAACCGATGATGCTTACTCGCAGCGGGCTATCTTCAACGATAATAGGCAAGAGATGATGGCCTCTTCCGTGTCTTCGTCGACGTACAAGTCCAACGCAATGTCTGCGTTCAACGCGTTGATCTCGCGGGAGGCCGCGAGGAAGGAGAGTCGTAACTGCGATACTCCGCATTTGGGAAAAGTGAATCGCACACTGGAGACCACGAACAATCTCAAGTGCTCCAACTGCGGCATGACTGGTTCTATGTTCAAGTGCCTGGGCTGCGAAACGACTTTCTATTGCGACGAGAGGTGTCAGATTCGTCACTGGGGCATTCATGTGGAGAAGTGTCCCAAGAGAATGCCTAAATTGAAGAAACTCATCTGAAAAATCTCGTAAAAATATCGAAAATCGCAGATTTATAATTTGACTCTGAAAAAAGTTACACATTGTTATTTATAATAATATTTAAGACAAGAAACAAAAGAATATGCAAAATTTATAATTGTTTCGATATTATCGCCGCGTAATGATCCTTATCTCTAGTCAATATACGATAAATTTTATAACGCGTGCAAGTGACATCTTGCAGTCGCATTTATACCACAATGTGATAAAGTGTGCCTGATTGTAAAACAAACGCTTACTGTAATTTTATGGCACTTTACTCACGGTCTGAGGTTTCGTATTGTAAATTACGAACTGCAAAGTACAAAGAGCTCAACGCACCACGCATTATTCCTTGTTATTACGTGATAATAAATATGTATTGTGCAATAATTATAATACGGAGGATAATTGTAATCTGGATAATAATTGCGCGTTAATTCGTTTGTATGTATTATGTGTTTCAATGTAACGAGTGTTACGAACGTGCTACCTCTCATGTACCTTATGCGTGATCATAGTAATTAAGAGATTCGATTGCAAATTTATTTTACCAAATGTAAAATCGATGAGAGAACGCTTTATCGGAAATGTGTGTTAGAAACTCAGCTAGCATAATATGAGAAATTATGTTTTATTTTTTAAAATATATATCTAAAAACGTGTTGCTTTGAGAAAAATAACGCTTAGTATATATTTGTCTTAATGCTTCTTAATTATTGTATATGTGAAGTAAAAATCATTATCGATAAAATTTTTTACTTTTATAAAAATTTTTATCTGTAAAAAAATTGCAGCACCAAATAATTCGTTTAATGGATGCAAATAAATGGATGGAAAATAATTGATAAGTGGCATGAACTTTACCTATATAATACCTGCATAAAAGAGTAATAATTTTCTGGAATACATAGTTTATCCATAAACTTATTTTTGAATATATATCATATGTTTAGACACATTTATCTAAAGAATAGTTAAAATACCAAGAAATGATAAAAAATTGTAATATCTTGGTTAAAAGGAATAATGTGTACATGTTTCCATTTACAGAAAAAAATTAAAGTTTGCTCGTTTCAGCTTGTTTAACCATTTGATTTAAAAATTTGTGAGCATCTTGATAATGAGGACTTGTCTCTTTGGCAACTCTTTCCATCCAAGCAGTCAAACGTGGTCTTCCCATCTTCGGATCATAACCAGCTAAGCCTGTCAAAAAAAAAGGAGGATGAATTTCTTGTTACTCGAATTACAAATATGGCATATATTATAACACATGAAATCAAAAGTTAACAACCAACTTACGTGGTTGTTCAATTTCGCAGGCACCAAGTATGTCAGCTACACTGATGGTATCTCCAGTTAAAAATAGATTATCTTTCAGCCATGTATTTTCAATAAAGTCGAGACAAGTATTCATACGATTTTTAGATTCTTCCACTTTTTCTGCCTTGGGTGGTCTTCCTTTCATAAGGGGCAAAAGAAACTATAACAATGTAAAAAAAAAAAGTAGCATTTAAATGTTAATGTGTGTAAACAGTATATAAAGGAATATAATAATAAGAATAAATATATAAAGGAAGTGTTACCTGCACTAAAAAGTACGTAGAACAATGTAGTCTTGTATTAAGATGTTGCCATTCAAGATATTCATCGACTTTTGCCTGACGTTTAGAATCAGATGGGTACCAGTGATCAGCCACCTTAAATTCTCTACTTATGTATCGCATGATCCCTATACTGAAATAGTTTAAAAGACAATTAAAATAATAGAAATGTATGTTTCACTTGCTGTGAATCTAGAACTAATACCTTTCAGCAAGGCAGAAACCATTGTGCTCTATAGCAGGAACTTTCTTCAATGGATTAACTTTTTCATATTCTGGCGAAAGTTGCTCCAGATTCTTCAAATTTATAATATTCCGTTCAAATGGTATGTTACAGACCTTAAGGAATATATATACAGCTCTCGAAGGTTGTGAGAGTAAATCAAAATACAACTTTAAAGACATAATTGGGAAAGAAAAGTCTAAAAAGTGAAAAGAAAATAAAATGATAATAAAAAACTAAATAAGTAAAAAACATTAATAATATATTTTAGCAATCATATTTAATAATATGTAATATCTTCTAATATATAGTTTTAACATAGTATCAACATTATTATGAATAATTCCAGCACTTCAATATTTTTAAAATATTTAAAGTGAAAACATTCAAAAGATATACATAAAATAAATATTTCAAGATATTAATCTAGTGTTTTTTATTTACTAGAAATAATTTTTAATAAGTACTGATTTCAACATTGAAAAATGCATGTATATCTTCTCACAATACACAGAATTTGAGTAATGTGTTTTAGTAAATACGTAACATTAAATTCTCATTGTAGCAATTTTAAAATCAAGTAGCCTGATAACCATACTGAACTTTAATTTCGACACACATACTCACATACACTTATATACATATGTACACATATATATGTCAAATATACTAATTATAGTAATAACATTAAGATAAACTCGCATCTTTTATGTATTTAACATAATTGTGGCATAAAATTTGTTTGATAAAAATATTATATATAGGCGATATAGTTAGACGATAATTATCAAAATAAAAAAAAAAAACATCTCTCAAACTTTGATTCCACTTAGAGAAACTTATTGTGATTACAATGCACAATAACTACTTACAATTGGTTTGCTTGCAAAAGATTCGGTGAAGATGACGGCAATTGCCGATTCCGCGATGACTGACTACTGTAACAAATAACAGAATATTATATTTACAATGTCCTCCAGGTTTTTCGGACGTGGACTTTGAATTCTTCTTTTACTCGTGCGATGGTTATATCGAAATGTGTCGTTTCGAGAGTCGCAATTGCACAGTTCGACCACGATAATGGCGACGTTCAAGTTTTTAAATGTACTTATTTTCAAATACTTAAATTACAAATATTCAAAGAGCCCCATTCTCAAACATCACCATCGAATATATTAAGAACGCAAAATTGACAATAAAAAACCTACATGAATAATTCTCTTATCAGTTTTAATTTAAATTTCGTTCTTCGAGGATCTTTATGCTTTTCTCACCATTAAACGAGATCTAATTTAATGAATTATGCTATATGACCTTACGTGGTTACTTATATGTATGTAACGTGGTAACATTCGCGACTACCAATTTTTCGTAATCTACTTGCTACTTATTCATATATATATACGCGATAGCTGCACTATCAGCTTTAGATCAAGAATGACGAGGTAAAATAATTTCCTCGAACCTAACCTAAGTGATGAAGTATTTGTTACGCACTCTGATAGGAAAAAAACTATACGGCGCACTTATCTCACACTTATCTTGCTTATTATTGAGTTGCAACAGGACTATAAATACTTACATGAAGACCAATATGCATGCCGTATAGAAATGTAGTCCCTATACGTAAGGTTTGTTCGCATTGATTGCACTTTTTGCACTTTTGACACTTTTGCACCTAATGCAGGATTCACACCGCGTCGATGTCCGACGTACGACGTCCGATATCCAATAAAAGAATAGCTTTCCAATGGAGAATTGAATTTTATATTAGAAAGCTGCTCTGCTATGGTCTTGACTAATCAGAAAGGAGCTACTGGCGATCGCGATTTACGATTCGTGGTTGCCGACAGCTCCTTTCTGATTGGTCAAGACGCAATGCGAGATTTCGCATATGTAGGAGCAGGTGGCGGCACTGATCAATCCGTCAGTCAGTCAGACGCCAAGGAAAAAATGGCGGACTGCGAGAAGGAGGAAGCGCACAATCTCGTAAGTTATTTACCTTTACCTAATGTTTATCTAATCACTTAAGCGATCTTGCGGCTCGTGTAATTTGTCGTCATATGTCGACCGCTTATCTGTCGCTAAACGTTAATCGTACATCTAGTTTGCCAACTCAACTTCCTGCGTTATAAGGTTATGTCGTGCTCTGTCATCCGGTCGTTTAACGTTCGCTCGAATATTTGTTTATTGTCCGTGTATTCGTTTGAATCGGTGATTTAACAATGCTCGCTCTGCTTCTAGCAAATGGAGTTCGAATGGGTGCTTCGCGAGGAAGTACACTCCTCGCTGTCGCAGCTCAAGAACATACTAATGGTATGTATACTGTAAGATAAGTGACATCACTTATTGCGCAGTGCGCAAAGTTAATTCATCATCCCAAACAGTACAGATCTCGACAGGATATTCTAAAGACGTTCTGAGAAGTTTCTACATCCTGAGAATGTCCTCAGAACATTCCCTGGAGATCTTGTGCTGTCTGGAATGATAGTTTCGTTGCTCTATGTTGGACTGTTAGTTCAGATCTGTAATATGCTCTTTGTTTCTTATTTCTTTCTCTTCATCTCTTTCTGACTTAAACTTTTAAACTTTAGCCAAAAAAAGATAGTGAACAAGAAACAGAAGTAAAGAGCACATTGTAGAGATCAGATCTTTAGAGATCAACGTATAAATTTTGTGTTTTTTTAAAGGATTGTGCCCAGCGATTTCCACTGACACTTTTCGGTAACGATCAACATAACAAAACTGACAGATTTGTGTTCGCAGCTGCACACGATCAAGTCAAGTGTGTCGCTGTTCTCACTGGCGACAGTATTACAAATGCGGTAAGATATCTGGAGCTTTATCCTGAACTCCCTTTTATCAATAAAAGTACTTCTAAAAGTGTTGGTAAAAAAAGTTGAGAATAAGGGTTATAATGTGTTACTGAAATTATAAGTAAAATTAATTGTGTTTCTAGAACTGTGTAATTATATTTGCTTTGTCATATCATTGTTTGCAGGAAGTGAATTTTAAAGTACAGCGCCAACAAAATGTAAATATGAGGACAAGTATTCAAAATGAACATCCATGGAAGTTACAACAAATTCAAGATGCCGCCAACCACTTACAACAAGCCATTGCCCATATAGATAATGTAGACAGACATTATCTTTTTAAAACATCAGATGAAGTCATGCATGTTCTAGGCAATATCTTGGGTTGTCTTCAAAGGAGCAGAACCAGCTTAATCGTTCCTAGAAAGAAGACGATCGATGATCTTATTAAGAGTCGAAATATGGTATATACCTTTTTTATTTTGTTCTATTATAGACATTGCCTTGTGACTCTTCTGTGTTCTAAATAACTTCTGTTTGTAGAAATCTCTTAATCCGAACCTACCAGAAAATCTGGCCATTAGTTTTTATATCCAAAGCTACAAACTGGTTTTAGCAGTTTATCAGTTAGAAAACGCTCATGGCAGTGTTAAGTATGAAACGCAGCAGGCAGAGTGCAGCGTGCCATGGCTGAACGACGCCCTTGTACTGCTTACCATCGCGTTACAGCTCTGTCAACGACTGAAAGATAAGGTTAGTTATTGCTACAACAATTTTATTAGTCTAATTCAATAAACTGATTGTATGGGATTTTTCAGATATGCGTTTTCTCCCAATATAAAGATTTTACGGTAGGTTCTCGTGTTCCTTCAGTATTGGGCTGATAACCTAAGAAATTTCATGTATTTGAAACGCGGAACTCTTGATATATAAGATGGTGCTACGTGCAAGTGGAGAATTTTGGCCTCAACTGTAACACTTGCCCTGGCCTTCTCGTTTCTACATATGTTAATTGTTCCTCTCTCGTCGTATGTCTCATTGCATACTCTCATTACATAACTAGAATGTTATTGTAGAATTTCTAAAGGTTATTACAGCGTGCGCCTAGTGAAGCGATATGTATCGTGTTCTTTTAGTTAAATTCAAATATCGGATCAAATACACGGGTATATGAGACAAATGGATAATAATAATAATAATAATAATATAATAATATTAATGATTCACTATATTATTGTAGACCAGAAATGGAAGACTTTGAGAGCATTTTGCCAATTATTGGTGTGCCTATCACCATGTTATATTATGTTCTTCCTTTTTCTGTAGTAGTTCTTATAAACATTGAAGTTTTTAACTTTAGGCAGATAAAATTGGGACTTGTTATTTTATCTACAAGTTGATAGAGTGGTATTTAATAAGTCTGCTGTGATTTTAGAAATCTACACTGTAATCCTCTCCTTACTGAATTAAGACATACTTTTATGTATTGATATAGCTATAAATTGTATTTTATTACGTTATTTATTAGTTGCATATACATAATTATTGTGTAATAATTGTATAATTTTCGACTATATTATTTTATTTATTTACATCTCGTTGCATATATTTTCTTCAGAAGTATCTGTGAATATAAAACTTCAGATGCAATAATTCGATACCTTCTTAGTAACAATAAGATAAACTAATTCAATGATAACTATTATGTGTATAGTTCTAGAAAAAATGCTATCTTATTAAATATTAATTTAAAATAATAATTAGAGAAATACCATGTGCCTCGTGATAAATTCCGATTTAAGTAAAATACATTCTCCAAATAACGTTACAATTTTGTAATCGGTATTTTGATTACTGATCATATATATATATATATATATATATATATATATATATATATA